AATCAAAACACCTGGTAGGTGTTCAGATTATAGTTTTTTTTTTCACCAAACCATGTACCAGCTGTATTATAAATTTCCTGATTAATTCTTTTTTTAAACCCTAAACAAGTTCCCAAAATACACAAAGTTAATACAGAGATACATAGATCAAACTAGTTATTCTTCTTTTCACTAAACAAACAAAAGGGATACTGCATATATTTTGCGCCGTAGATAATATTCCTGTGAATATATCCCACCAATGGTGAGCCGACGCCTATACTATTAGTTTTAGCCATATGTAAAAACCTTTCTTTGAGCCATGCAGGTGGGCACTGTTAGATCAGACACGTTTAGACTTATGAGACTTGATCATTTCAGTCAACTCTATGGACTCATTCAATGCGCATTTTAAATGATCCAGAGAGACTCGCCATGGAGTAAGACGAGATTCAGAGCTATAATTAGTCAAACGATAAGTCTGGTTGTTCCGAGTTCACAGATGTACACCACACACACATCCAGAGAAAGGCACCTTAGGTACTTTTTATTGTTGCTCTAACCTAGTTCATGAGTCTAATCACACAATACCTTGTCTCTGGTTAAACATGGGTTAACATGATTAGTTTCAACATACATATCACTCTTTTATCAGCTGTCTCACATAGTTGCATGTTATATGTGAGATTTGTCTGTGGCTCAAACCACTCACCCTGTACTTTTATTTTTTTTAAAACCAGTGTCCTTGTACAGTTATTAAAGGCAAAATGTGATATTTGCATAACTGTGGTTGCCTTCATTACATTTTGTCAATTCAGGTTTTAAATGTTCCATACTCTCCTCCACTCATGATGATTCGATGTAGTGACACCACCCTCTGGCAGGGCTCCTCCTGCAGCTGTACAAAAAAAAACTGCAAGGTACACAGGAAAACAAGTTCAAAGCTTCAATTATGTTGGAGAGCACTTTTTTCTGTGCTCCCCCACATCTTTGGCTGCAAGTTTATTTCTTTTATCAGTATTTTGACCGTTTCTTCTTGAGTCATGACAACTGATGGTATCCAGAACCCTTCTTGAGTAACTGCCAACGAAGCACGTCTCCTCCTTCTCCTTAATTGGCAGTAAAAATCAAACTTCGTTCTCCTTTTTTTTCTTTCTTTCATCTGGTTTAGCATGTACCGTTCCCACACATGTTACACAGTGGGGCCTCCACACAACTCCAATCTGACATCTAAGGTACCACTGGGATGGTTTCCCTGTGGTAGCATGTCAAAAGTCACTTTGCACTCAGATCTTGCTTGCATCTTTTTTTTTTTTCAACCAAAGTGAACACCTGATCCTCCTCCACGACACGTCCTGGTGTTGCTGATGAGGCGTTGTCCATCTGCAACAAGGCACGTGATGCCCAAACAGCCTGCACTCCGATCTGACTTGGCACCTTGTCACCAGCTCCTCGGGGCGACCTTGATCGTCCAAACAACCAAGACCAGGAGAGCATCCAGCTGTGGAAACAATAAAACTGCTTTTCAACAAAAAGAGAGAAGAATTAGTTTTCTCTTTAATAACACTTATAAATTGGTACATTTACCCATTTTTCCTTCTCCTGCCTCTGGGATATTGCAGACCCAGACCAATTTTATAGCTTGAATTTGACCTGAAATCACTGTCACTGGCTCTAGAGTCCTCAGACCCAGGAGTTGCAATTGAAACACAGCCTGCAACAAATTTACTTTTCAGTTTGTCAAATCATGTCTTTCATTTTCTCAGCATTTCTTTTTTTTTTTTAACAGTTCATCCATTCTCTTAATCAGCCCAGCAGCTTTGTGGGTGATAAGGAAATATGATAAATCCATTCAACACATTTTCCAGTAAAATGGGTCCCATTATCTGTATCTGAAGGGGACCCTCATAAAATTATTTAATCATACTAAGACTTTTTAAAGTAGATGTCTGATTTGCATATTTACAAAGATGAGTCACCAACACACCTGAATACATATCTACACCCCTGTGACATGGCAAAGGGCCAATGAAATCCGTTTGCCAGATCTGATATGGTCCCTTTCCCCTATATGTCCCTGCATTTTACTATTGTGACTCTCTCTCTTCTGATGACATGCTTCACATCGTTGTATTTGCAGTTTCATCATCTGTCTTGTTCTACAATCAAACAATTCTTCATACATAACCACTTCATGCAAAAAGTGTCAATAATTAACTTTATTTATTAAAAAGAAATCCTTCTTCTAGTCTTGGCCCCACTCAAAATGTTTAACTCATCAGTTTTCAAAACTGAGATGTTAACTTTTTCCACAGAACCCCTCTTGAAAAGAGCTGAACTTTCACTTTAAATGTGAAACATCTGCAAAACAAGATGGTGAAATTCTTTTTATCTCAGATATTTTTGGATACTTCTAGAGTTGTTTTTAGATGCTGTCAAAACTATAGCTGCAGGTAAAGCATTTATAAACAACATATGTTGCACTTCCTTCCAA